TTGTAGAGATAAGGTCTCGCCAAGTGCCCAGGCAGGTTTCGAACCTGCGGGCTCAGGCAATCCACTCACCTCAGCCTCCCAAGGCGTGGGATTACAGGCTGAGCCACCGAGCCCGGCTTAATTTTTTTTTATTTATTGTAGATACGAGGTCTTGCCACATTGCCCAGGCTGGTCTCAACTCCATGAGCTCAGCCATTCCTCCTGCCTCCACCTCCCAAATTGCTGGGATTACAGGCTTGTGCCACGACGCCCCACGCCACTGTTATATCTTGTTAAGGCCATCTACACAGTTTCCCTCTTACCATCTTCTTCAGAAAGATACCAACCAGTAAGATATCCTAGCTATGTGGCTAGTCACTGGAAGAGCTGTCCTGACCCAGGACTCTCTCCATTCTGCCATGAAGCCCTCAGAAAACTTATCCTCAGCCATCAGAGGGACTTAATTCATGCTCCAGGACAGCCAGGTGGATATGCAGAGCCTGTGTTTTTATCCTTTCTTTTCCATCCCCAGCTGGGCAGAAGACAACCTGTGCCCAGGGTCTGGAGGGGCCCTGGGAGCGCCCTCCCCCTCTGAATGAGCCCCAGAGAGATGGAAGCCCTGGGGACCAAGTGGAAGACCCAGCACTCAGTGGTGAGGCTTGGGGAGTGTGGGATGATGGGGAGGCGGGATGTTGGGGAGGCAGGGCTGGGTTCTTGGTGGGTAGGGCCAGGCCCTGAGCCCCTCTCTGCTTGCCTTGTAGAGCTTGGGGAGGGGCCTCAGTGCCCTGTCTGTCCTGAACCTGGCACATAAGCACCGAGCATCTCCCAGGAGAAATGGAGGGGACACGGCTGTTCCCCAGAAACCCACTCTGTCCTCACCCTGTCTTGTGCCCTTCCCCTCACCTGCTAGGGCTGTGGCTTCTGACTTCTAGAAGACTGAGGCTGGTCTGTATTTGCTTGTTTGCCCACCTTTGGCTGATGCCCAGAGAACCTGAGTGCTTGCTGCCTGATGCCTGCCTCTGCCAGTCATTCTTCCATTCACCCAGTGAGAGGTGGGATGTGAGAGAAAATCCCTGAAACCAAGAACAAGGATTTGCCCTTCACAATTCTACTTCCCAGATCCTCTCCCCTAAACACAGGAGACCTACAGGGCAGGACCCTAAGATCTGGGGTAAAGAGGTACTGAGAACCTGTGGGTGCCCTTCTCCATCCCCACCCCTATGGGTGATTGATTCCACATCACCACACCTCTCACCAGGGCCCAGGACTCAGGCATCTTTCTCCACAGCCTCAACGTTTTGGAAATCTTCCCCTTGTCACCCCGCTCCTCCTGGGTGCCTGGAAGATGGACTGGCAGAGGCTACTTTGTTGTGTTTTGTTTGTGCTTTGATGCCAGGAATGCCGCCTGGTCTATGTCCTTTTGGGGGGCACATAGAGAGGGAACCAGGTTCCTCTCGTCCCTTGGCTGCTCTGCCTCCTTCCCCTTCTTCCCTGACTCCAGGCCTGAATCCCTCCCGTGCTGTAATAAATCTTTGTAAATAACGGTGCTGAGACTCCTTTTTCAAGGGAAGGGGGGAGGGAAAGGGAGGCAGGGGGTCCTATATGGAAGGCTAGTGGTCATCTAAGGGTCAGGGCTTTGTCCCTGGGGTCCAGTCATCTAGTCTAGGAGTCTTCAATGCTGACAACAGGCGGGGGCACTCAGGAAGGACCACAGAAGTTCCAGCTCTTGCCGGGGATGGCTGAAGGGGGGGATGGGAAGTGGGGGAGATGGGAGAAGTCCTCCAAACCTCGCTGGATTCCTCCAAAGGACCCGTCCCCCACCCCATGGACCTCCCCTCAGGAAGTTCCCCTTTATTCCCACAGCGCCAGGCCTGTGTGGCCCGACGACGCGCGAGCTTCTTTCCATGCCGCCACCCGCGGGAAGGCACTCCTGGAGTCTAACTTTGGCCTCAGCCCCCTC